ACACTCAGTATTCTCAATTTCCAACACTTTCCTTATTATTATTATTATTATTATTATTATTATTATTATTATTATCAAAAAAACAAATTCATTGACGTAACACTTTCAACACATTGCAGCAATTTTGGAAGTGTTGCAAAATAATCAAATTGTTTTCTTCTATCATTTTGTTATTTAACTTTAAGATCATGGCTGACCTAATGTTGCACCGAATAGATATGGGACGTATATTTCAAATGGAAAAAGAACCCATTGTTTTTTAAAGAAAATATCAAAACAAATTACAGATTTTGCATCATGTTCCTCTTCACAGTTGTTATATCCACGTCATTATTATTATTATTATTATTATTATTATTATTATTATTATTATTATTGACAGCTTTGTTACATCAAAAGTATCTCGTCGTTGTGGTTGGATTTGTACTGACATCTTCTATCATAACCGCAGCATTCTGTATTCCCATTGAATTATTATATATGCCCATCGTCAACAAAATTTGCCAAATAAGTTCGTCAGTTTCTCAAAAATGTGAACCGGACAGAATTTTAGAAACGTAAAAATTTTCAACTAAATTTAGTTAAAAAAACAAAAAAATTGCTATCAGATTGGATGTTCAGTTAGTCATATCAACTTTCGACTGTAAGGTTTTCGTTTCATTTCTTCTTCTTCTTCTTCTTCTTCTTCTTCTTATTATTATTATTATTATTATTATTATTATTATTATTATTATTATTATTATTTCTACCGAATGTTACTGTTACAAATCTCCTGAGTAATCAAATTATTATTAGCAAAAATAATTTATTAAAATTATTATAAAATGAAATGATTTAAATTGATAGTAATAGACAAAAATTACATATATAATATAAATACGCATTATATATATATATATATACATATATATATATATATATATATATATATATATATATATATATATATATATATATATATATATATATATATATATATATATATATATATATATATATATATATATATATATATATATATTTAGTTTCGTTGATGTGAGTTTGTTAGCCTCGATCGTCAGACAAACTTATCAATTAATCAGTTTGTCTGAAACCCAGGGTCACAAACTCACATCAACGCAAATAAATATGTTAGCTGATATCACTGATATTGAGCGCTTTCCAATAAGTACCGCCCATATATAACATATATATAAATCGCATATATATATATATATATATATATATATACACACACACATATATATATATATATATATATGTATATATTCTTATACGTGTGTCTTATTTGGGCGAGACAGATAATAAAAGAAAAATGGATTGTATCTAAGAGAAAGACTCACTGATGTGCTTTTGTAAATAAAATATATAGAAAAAACGTTAGGTATTTGTTTTTCTATGCGTGTGTGTGTGTGTGGAGTGCATGTGCATTTGTAGTTGACGTTCTGCGAAGTTCTGTAACGAACTACCCGCGTTAGTGCATTAATTACACGGATTAATATCCTCATCTTCTTTGAATTGTTCACCAAGGTCAGTGCGCTCACCGACCTCCCGCACGTGTATGACACACACAGTAATCTTGAAAAATCTTTGGCAATAGCATTTTAACTTAATCAATCTTTATAAAATTCAAATCAGAATTCAAAGCCGTGAACTGAAATAAAAAAAGAAATCAGGATAACACTTTGAGTAATATATTTTATGCGTTTAGACAAAACAAGGCCAGTTCGACAGAACACTGAAAAAATCTCATTCGATTCAACATGTATATATATATATATATATATATATATATATATATATATATATATATATGTGTGTGTGTGTGTGTGTATGTATGTATGTATGTATTTATATATACGAATGGTTTTATTTTAGCCTAAACCTTTAAAGTATTTAATCAAGCTGATTTTTACCCTTATTACGGCATGTGAATGATAGTTTAGAGAAACATTTCAGTCTGGTGAAATATTATAAACCATAGTTAAAATCCCTAAATTATAGCTAAAGTTCCTAAATCATAGCTTAAATTTATAATAGGGATTTTTTCGCCTTATACTGTGTAATTAAAAGCTTTAAACATTAGATCAAACTTTGAAATTTGAAAGTTTCGATACGTTGCAAACTGACACATAAACACACATATACTCATATATATATATATATATATATATATATAGATAGATAGATAGATAGATAGATAGATAGATAGATAGATAGATAAAATCATAATATATCGTATATACAGTGCTGGTGTTAATAAAACAAACCTATTAAGTATATATAAATAAATATACATATTAAACCTCATGCACAACAAAGTCTTCAGAAGCTGACTGTAGACTCTCTCTTACACACACACACACACGTGCGCGCACGCATATATATATATATATATATATATATATATATATATATATATATATATATATATCAACGTCGGATTGTCAAACAAATTAAATCACACAGACGTAGATGCATAGAAATACATACATACATACATGCATATACATATCTATATCTATAGACACATATGCATACATACATATACATCTCTCTCTCTCTCTCCCGCTATATATATATATGTGTGTGTGTGTGTATGTGCGCGTATGTATCTATGTATGTATTACTCTGTGTGTTATGTGTCTATATCTATGTGATTTCATTTGTTTGAGTATCCGACGTTGATAACTTTTCTGTTGATATGTTTCACAGTTGACACCATCAAAAAAAAAACGGATTTTATTTTCAACTAAGTTTACATGATCGCAGCAAAACGTGATTTACGTTAATGATATTGATGCTTAATTTTGTTTTATTTTACTTTAACTGCATCATTTTGAAATGAAGCATTGCTAATATCAACTTAGGTGTTCTATTTATTAAACAGCAGATTCATAAGAAAAATGTGATGAACTGAAAAAGCTTTTCGTATATATCATGTCAACATATTTTTTCTCTCTTTCAAATTGTCATAAATTTATCGACAGTGACGACAGAAATCAGTCAGTTATGTGCCATACGTGATACACGCGTAGGCGATCATGTATCTTTCGATACATGACTAACGAGGCAGATTTTTTTTCCCGCAGTAGGTTGCAGTTCTTTCTGTGGTAGACCAGTTGCCATCCAAGGCTATAGAACCCGGTTTGTCCTGCTATTTACCCATAACTGGGTGGGGGAGAAGATTCATACCTTTCCCAATGGGAATGGGTTCGACTGGAACTTGTACTCGGCTCTCCATTCCTCACTCCGAACCGCTGTCCATGACACCGCCGTGCCTCCCCATATATATATATATATATATATATATATATATATATATATATATATATATGTCCCAGAAATGCATTCCACATAGTGGTAAGACATTATAGTTGGACACCATAGGCACTAATATCTTACCTATTAGGTGCGATGTATTTCTGGGTGGGATATGTAGAAGGCATTTCTACTGCATCCTACTATACACAGACACACTCATACTCATACGCCCATAATATATATATATATATATATATATATATATATATATATATATATATAACAGAGAAAAGAGGATCCAAAACGTTTTTGATTATAATGTGGATTTTTTTAAAAATATATATTATACTTTATTTTCCATACTTTTTGCTACGCGCGATTCAGGTCTTGTAATCTTCATCAGGCGAAGAATGGTTATTTCCACATATGATTTAAAGGGATTGATTTATTTCCTTATGTAGTCTTATGTTTAACCATTTTCTTTTGTGTGTGGCAGTAATCCAAGTCCTTCTTGGACTAGTGGAGAAAATCTTTCTCTGCTTAAGGTGTAATAAAATAATTAGGATTAGTCAGAGAAAGGGCAAAGAAAGGAGGTCTTTGTTTTTTTTTTATCTTTTTATGACCTCTGTGTATTTTGAAACTTATCTCCATTTCTGTGTAATTTTGTTCTTGCTAGTATGTGTATACATATTCTTTTATATATACATATATATATATATATATATATATATATATATATATATATATATATATATATATAAGGAGAGAGAGAAAGAATCATAAAATGTTATTGGTCAGAGACCAGGAAACCGTTGTATTAAATAATATTATACAGGCATAAATTAAACAAAATCCCGAATCGCCTGAAGATACCAATAGGTTGAAACTAAGGTGGCGTGATCGACTGATCATATTTTCATATATATATATATATATATATATATATATATATAGAGATAGAGAGAGGTAACAAATACTCAGGGTTCATTAATGATTTGTAAACCGAAAGTATTTCACAAATTTCCATATATTCAATATATTTTTACGACAGATGCTGAAAAGTTCTCGACGTGAACAAGACGCCCTGGTTGCAAACATTATGAGATATCATCTGCTCACATTTTAGACAGTGGGTCGACTCAGGGACTTTTCATTGCTCCACTTATAAATATAGCAATATATGTCGTGATAACAGTCTATCAAGTCAGCCATTGACGTCGCTTTATCACAATTACACGCATACAAACACACACACACACACATATATATATATATATATATATATATATATATATATTATAGTTATGCATATCATACTTTGACGAACGTTTAAATCGGAAATTTATTTGTTATATAACAAAATCAAAATAAATTATTACTATTATAATTCCAAAAATTATTTGTATAAAGAGAAAGAAAATTAGTCTTAATTACAGTGTAGGATGACCAATGCAAAAATTCACCTCAGGCTATGTGTGTGTGTGTGAGAGAGTGAGAGAATGAGAGAGAGAGAGAGTGTGTGTGTGTGTGTGAGAGTGAGAGAATGAGAGAGAGAGAGTGTGTGTGTGTGTGTGTTATGATATATACTGAATAGCCACATTCGTGCGCATATTTTTTCCGTATTATACATGTAGGTATGCAGATGCAAGCTTTCGTATACATTTTTCACACACATTCGCACACTCATAAATGCTTGTGAGCTGTTACTACATCACTTTATATATATATACACAGACGCAAGATCTGAATAGACTGAGGTAGATAAATATAAATAGACTGAACTACATAGATAGATAGATAGATAGATAGATAGATGCGTATCAAGTAAATAATTATACATGTTTCAAAATTTTATTTAGAGTCGTTATTAATACAACTTATTAGGTAATATATTTTTAAGTCTTAAGAATATCATTATTATTATTATTATTATTATTATTATATGATTAGTAATAATAATGTTAATAATAGTCAAACAGAACTAATAATTTAATAATCTGAAACTATTTATTATCAATAAAATGACATCAGATATTATCTAATTTCCTCTGTAAATCACGTAGAACATGGGCAGACATAAGATGAAGAGGCCTTGATACTATACCATATTCGATAAAACCAAATATTATTTTTAGAAATGTTGTCCTGCCCCCCTCCTATATTAAAAGATGTAAAAAATAAAATAATCTATGTATCTATATATCTATCTCTCCTTCTCTCTCTCTCTCTCTCTCTCTCTCTCTATATATATATATATATATATATATATATATATATATATATATATAGGTAAAAAGAAAAGGCTAATTGTTTGAAATGTTGTCAAACTCACTCACCCTAACTAAGGTAATCGTTTTTAGAATCAACATTAATTTTCGTTAATACTGCAATCCTAAGAGTCTGACGAAGGGCACTTTACCGGAAATCTTTTCCCTTTAGAAATAAAGAAAATAAAAAATTTAGAAAAACACAAACTATAGAAGAGCCAAGTTTTACTGCGACCCTTGAAATTTGGTATCACTTGGCCATTAACTTCCGTCGCCATAATCTTTCATCATCTTTAATTACTACCCCGTTGTGAATCTCTATCAAAATCGTGAAAAATCAGTAAAAACTCATTTACTTTTTGAAGCAATGTTCATTTGAAGTGTCACCAATTAGTCATCCGTGTGTCTGCGTCTGTGTTTGTGTGCGAGAGGAGTGTGAAAGTAGACACAGTATATAAAAATGTCCATGTCTGCAGTCTGCAACTCAAATGGACTTGACAATAATAGTCTTGATGAAATAATGACTACAGATAGCTACTTGCTGCCTCGTTGCATTGTACATGGCGACAGATCTAATTTGTCGTAAGAAGCAAAAATGATTACTAAGTATTGAACACTGCTTATAGGCTATAGAGAAAATTACCTACTTAAAATGTTGACAAAAGCATTGAAATTATCGATAAGTGGCGTTTATTTAAAAGAGAGAAAGTTTTCTAATTGTAACGAGAATTTTCCATGGGGATTCGAACGAAAGCATTTAGTAAAGCAGATTGTTAAAAATTAATTTAATCAAAAAATCTGATAAAAAAACATTTAAAATTAAATTTTAAAAAAACAGTATATAAAATTATTATTAGTATTATTATTGTTGTTGTTGTTGTTGTTGTTTCCAGTTTTCCTGTCTTGCTTTTTTAAACTCTCCTTTATCAGGTCTTTTACCTGAGAGCTGAGGTAAAGAAAGGTTTTTCTTAAACCTTTTTGATCACCATGTCCAGTTTGTGGACATTCCTCATCGATTTTTAAGTCCATATTTCCCAGAATGACCATTAATTCGTGTTAGCTAGATTCGCTTGTTGATATAAACATTTACCAAGTCTTTCACCTGAGACCTAAAGCAAAGGAAGGTTTTTCTTACACCTTTTCTATCAACATCTCTAGTGTGCGTCTATTTCTCGTTGGCTTTGAATCTATATTTTCCACAATTATCATTATTTCCCGTTAGCTTGATTCACTTTTTGATACAAACATTTACCTGAGAGCTGAAATAAAGGAAGTTTTTTTTTTTGTTTTTTTTTCTTGGATAGTTATTTTGTCTATTAGACTTAGAGACTTTTTTTCTGAGTATGCAAACTGTGCCCACGAGTACAGTTTGTTTTTTTTTTTTTCGTATCCCAGACAGTAATATGTTTCCTGGGATTTTCTTCATGTATGTATTCCTTTTAAGTATTTCATTCATTTTTTTTTTATTATAGCTGACGTAAAAATGTATTGAACCGCCATATTCTGTTAATCTCTGTTTCCAGGTCCTTATATTTTGAGAGTTTTCAAAAATTTTTGACTGGATGTTTTTGTGATTGACCATGTCTATGTGATAGAACTAATTTCTTTGGAATTTTTTTTATTATTATATCTTATCTATTGTCTTATGTAATGCGACCTCTGTATATGGTGAAGCCGAAGGCAGGCACTGTAATATTTTTACCTTTTAGTCCTGATGCTGGATTGATGTCCATATCAGTTTTCTGTCTTGGAAATGTTATAATATATAATTCTATTTATAATCTTCCAATGCAGGTATTTTCCATAATCTATCATGTCTACATTTAAATTCATTTGGGAGAGAACCCAGATATTAGATGGTCAATTGTTAACTTTGCTTTTATCCAAATTATTATCATTTTTGGATATGATATCTTAGATGTTTTGCCCGATCGAGGATGGTCGTATCTCAGCTCTTTTCTGCAGCTTAGAGACACATTTCCCTCAGTACACTAGCTGTTCCAAGTAGCGCTGCCATCGGTCCACGCCCAATGATGCTAGGTGTCTTGCGAGAGAGAAAGCCCGAGTGCGCCAACCACAAAAGGGGAACTCTGGCTGCTACTTAGTACATTTCTCTGATTTCTCTTGTCATATCTTTATTATTATTATTATTATTATTATTATTATTATTATTATTATTATTATTCCTTTGATTTCTTTCCAGGTCTCACCCAGGGACCTAAGGTTAGAAATGGTATCATGACATTTTCCATTTGAAAAAATATATATATTTTACATAGACAAAGCCCTTAGTAAGGTGTGGGCTGTACTCGTGAGAACAATTTTTTTGTATTTCTTTAAGGCATGGGCTTCCAGGGATCCTTTCAATTGTCTGCTGGAATATTTTCCAACCAATCCGAGGGCTCCAACTACAACGGGGATTGTTGATGATCCCATGCGCCACATTTTTGACATTTCGATTCTTTGTATTTTAATAGCTTTTTGAAGATCTTCAAAGATACATTGCAGTCTGTATGTACTGCCGTATCAATAATGAGGCACTTATTATTATTATTATTATTATTATTATTATTATTATTATTATTATTATTATTATTGTTGTTGTTATTGCTGCAATTGGTGATTTTCACTGGGGGTTAAGTAATAAAATTTTTTCTGATATCTCCTCACGTTCTACGGGATTTTACTAAAGTTGCTATTTAATTGCTTTCAATATTCCTCGGTTTCCCAGTCTCTTTGCAAAGTTCCTTGGGACTGTTTTAAGTGCTCCAATCCTGATCTATACAACTGTCACCACCCACAATATTTCAGTTGTTATCGTAATTGTTACTATTTGGTTTATTCATTATTTCTCGGCTCGATGAATATTTAGTTTTATGAAGCAGACAGGGGAAGCCTCAGTCTTTACTCTATACGAGAAAATTGCCGAGGATTTGAGCAATGCTGATACGAGTGTTCTTTTGTAATTATTTCGCGACTGCTTTCTTTGTCATTTCTCCAAGAGGTCTGCTAAGCTCTGTTTTGTTCTTGTCCAAGAAATGTATGATTATTATTATTATTATTATTATTATTATTATTTATTATTACCAATCATAATACAATCCATTTCTATGTTTGTTTTCCTGTGAATAGGATAATACTTGAAGGATGTCGTGCATACAGACACATGGCTCAAGATAAATTGCTTGACATATTCATTCAGATTATCGTTTTATTACCTATAAAGGTGCAAAAAGTCAGATCAGCAATTGTAGGTAAATATATTTCGAATATACAAAATAAAAAGAAGAATTATTGAATATATCTATGGCGAAAATACAAACACCGGCAAATACATTTAATTATAAATATTATATTGAGAATTATTCTTTATAATTCAGACAATACGTGTAAAATTATAATACTAGTATTAATAATAATGATAATAATAATAATAATTTTTTTTTTATTATTAATATTATTATTAGAAGAAGAAGAAGAAGAAAAAAGAAGAACTTAAACGCGATGACTCATTTTCGTTAAAACTTATCCCGAAATAGAATACAGAAATATTAATAATAATACTAGTTAAGGTACATCAGGGGAAGTATTATATAAAAGCATAATCAACAATAACATCAGTAATAATAATAATAATAATAATAATTATTATTATTATTATTATTATTAATATTATTATTATTATTATTATTATTATTATTATTATTATTATTATTCCTAGCGATAATCACCAGGCACCTAATATGAAAATTAAAATGCACAGAATATGATTAACGATGACAATAAAATTGATAATCCACGCTGCATTTTTGGTACTGACAATTCCCTTCATGAAATTGCAAGAGCACCGGTGTTATAATAACGTCAGCATTAAATGGAATAAACTACAGTTGATAACATTTGGATTTCTCATAACTTATAACACTAACAACAGAGACGATGATGAGGGTTCTAATGGTGATGATTAAAACTACTACTACTACTACTACTACTACTACAAATAATAATAATAATAATAGACTGAGTGTGGCATCCTGTAAGAAATTTTGTCAATTGAGTCAATAAGTAAAAAAGTTATAAAGAAACTATTTCAATTGATTAGCTTATTTGAATTGTGACTATGTGATGAACTGACTCACTTGCCGTTTTCTAGGGAAAACGAGGATTCAAAGTGAAAAAAATCTATAATCACTTGTAGCAATTATAGAGAATATAAAAATAATTACAATTAATAATAATAATAATAATAATAATAATAATAATAATAAAAATTAATAAATAAATAAATAAATAAAAACAAATAGCAAAAACCACATATTTTACATAGATAAAGCCCATCGTAAGGTGTGGGCTGTACTCGTGCCGTCTGGGCACGCCCAATGACGTTAGGTATCTCCACGGTGTCTTGCGAGACAGAAAGATTCCTGGAGGGGAGTGCCGAGTATTATTATTATTATTATTATTATTATTATTATTATACGCACATCAAACGTATTTGAAGGTATTTTATTGTGATCAAGTGACACGAAGTCACCTCAGTATTCCAGCACTCTCCTCGGTATCTGAACTGATT